GTTTTCTATACAGATCGAAAATCCAGGATTATATTGAATTAATTAGTTCTAAAGTTATCCTGTTTCGCCTCTACCCCTAGACAGGGAACTGTATAAGACCACTCCCGAGGCTCATCAGTAGGGAGGAGTGGTTGAAGGAGGATAAGAGTGATGACACCATAGCAGGGTCGCCTTTTATACCTGTGGGGTAGCTCAAATAGATCAAAGGCCGAATAATTAGATCATACTGTAGATTATATTAGAAACAAAGGTTTTGACATTTCTGAAATTGCTTAATTGTTTATACTTGTATGTAATGCATTTGTTAAATGTCAAACATTTGAATATTCCTAGCTGTATCATTTCTTTGTCATATTTCAGTTTGAGTAATAACCTGATCAGGATTTTTACTCTATCGTAAAAGTCTTCAAACTCAGTACAGGTTCTATATATTCTTAGGACTTCTGTATAAATGATAGCGCATTTAAGCATAGAGCTTATGTATGAAGACCCATGGCTAAATCTGATTACTTCGAAATCAAAATCATCTGTTTTGTTATACTGCTTAGTGTTTATAACACCATTTCTAATCGAAATGTGTACATCTAGGAAATTACATGCATACTCTGTAGGATTTGTGGTTTCTAAATTCAAAACATTATCATAGACTTTGTCCAGTACTGTTTTTATGAATTCTTGGGTCTTGTTATGGATGATTAGAATATCATCCATATATCGATATGCCTGAAATAGAAAATTTGGATTTTGTATATTGCAGGCAAAGATATACTCAAAATATGAGAGAGTAAGATCTGCAATTATAGGGCTAGCATTACCGCCCTGAGGTACTCCAATTTTTTGATTGAAAAGTTGGTTTCCAACTCGACAGAAACTATTACGTAGAATATAATCAATGAGATAAATTATATCTTCTAATCTGTAGTACCTATATCCTAAAGTATTATCTTGTGTTGTGCAGTACATAATTTTATGATTATTATTAATTTTTATGAAACTTCTGCACGCATTTTTGAGGCAAATTTTAAGAATTTCTTTCAGATTGCTCATAATGACATCATGTGGAATATTAGTGAACATATTGGTAAAATCTGCTGAAAATAATTTTTTGTTGTCTATCTCTAAGTTTCTCAGGTCCGTTGATATATTAATATCATTAATAGCCCAGTAAGTTTGTAAGCATTTTTTATTTTTCATGACTGTGTATGCATAATTTCTAAAATGTTTTCCAATAAAACTGAGAATATGTAGTAATTCAAGTGTTATAGGCTTCGTACTACTTTATATGCACCTGTAATAAACCTAAACTTTGTGGGATTCTTATGTAATTTGGGTACGCAATATATGATCGGAATATTATAGCTTTCTTGTTTGTAGATGTGTAATTTATTCGCGAATGCAATGTGCCGGTTAACAATTTCGTTTATATCAATATCTACCTTTTCATATATTTGATTGATTGTATTCGTAGTCAAGCCCATTTCTTCCATTATAATTTTCAGGTATAGTCTCTTGCAAATGATACCATAATTGGAGCTGGCTTTATCTAACGGACAGATTATGAAGTATTTGTGTATATAATCAAGCTCATTTGTATCGATTTTAATGGACGTATTATTATTAGTACAGTAAAATATTCTTGTCTTGATTTTCTCAAAACTGTGGTAGACTGTTTGTTGTATTCTCTCAGTGATGTGTTTACTTAAATGATATTTTTTCTTTAATTTGTTTATGTATTCTTGGAGTATGTGTAGCCAGGTATTTTTGACTTTTTGATGAGTAAATTCAAATTGGGGACGAAACTTTGTTCCTTTTTGGAAAATTTCAAAGATATTCAGTTTATTAAAAATACTGATATCTCCTGTAACAACGTGCTTGTGATGGCTGGATACATAACTTTGGTATTTATCGCATATGCAGGGTGTACGTTCAATATTTGAATTTGGGATGGTTCTTAGAAACTTGTTGTAGTTGAATATACGTGTGGAGATTGGGTTGTTGTATTCGAAAATAATTCTAAAGTTTTTGTATTCAATATTACCTTCATTAATTATAGATTTTACAGTTTTATTATTAAAAACTCTATTGAGGTTAACTCTATCTAGTACCGAAGTATAGAAAGGGATTTTGATCGAAGGTAGATTGCTAAATACTTTTCCATGTTTGTTAGTTTGTTTGCTAACATGATAATAGCAAAGGGTGCTGAGCAAAATGAGTTTATTGGTTTTTGATATATGTAAAAGATTGGTAGGATAAATTAGATGGTTTATTAGTCTTGAAATATATTGGTGTGGTTTAGATTTTAGATATTTGAAAATTTCATAAGGTTGCTCTGTATGTTCGAAGAGTGAACTGATTTCGTTAGTTATCTCGTTTATGGTATTAATTGATCTTTTATGATGTTTATGGTTTCCTCTATTTGTTCTTTCTTTCAAAATTTTGAGGCTAAAGAACGGATGTGATTTAGTGTTTGTTAAAGGGTTTTTAATAAGACTCAGATTTCCATAGCCTTTAATGTTATCATTAAAACCAAATGGAAACGGAGTCATTAGTAGTTTTATCCAAAAAAGTTCCTTATTTCTGAGTATTTCTTTATCCTCATTTTCAGGTAAGTTGTTTAGAATAGATATTTTAATATCATTTTTATTACAACCTTTTTCCTCAAAATGTTTATGTAATATTTTATTTTCATTACTTTTAACTATTCCTCTAATGTGTTCCTTAATTCTTTCACTTAGTTTTCGAGTGGTTATTCCAACATACTGTAAACCACAAGTGCCACAAATTATACAATACACAACATTTTTTAGAGCTACAACTGCACACTGTGTGTTTATAGGTATTAATTTTGAATCCTGTAACTTGTGATATTACGTAATTAGTATAGTATGTTTTATTGCATATGTTACAGGATTGATTACATTGTGAGCCCTTATTTTCATTACCAAAATTCAGTAGGTTGTACCTGCCGGATACCTTACGCTTATAAAAAGTAGTACCCTGAAAATAAGAGTGGGAATAACCATTTGTTTTTGTATTGTTTTTGAGCCTGGATTTAAGGTATAGAAGGGCCCCATCCCATACCAGAGGGAGGTCACTTAAAGTTTCGGGAGGACTGCTCCCAGGGGTTGGCGCTCCCTTTAAAAGAATAGCTACCGGAGGCGTAGCACTTACCCTCCCATGCCAGTGACTACTTGTGTGAACCCCATCGGTAGTACCCGGGTAAACAAAAAACCAAAGGAAAAAGGAAGGGAAGAAAAACTAAACCCACCAACGTAAGGTATACAACCTATCCCCTTATGTTTAGTTCATTTGATTTGCCATTTGGATATATTGAATACTTAGAAAGTTACTTGAGAATTTAGGGATGATGGATGTAAGGGCAAAAATGCTGAAGAAACAGTAATGTTTTAGTATAGGGCATTCGAAAAATCGTGACCATGACATGACCATGTTTGACACGTACGCACGCTCATTTCATTATTTCTAGCTCTACTTGAATGTTTTTTTCTGCTCAAATATGATAGTATCCAGATATTGGAAGTAAGTGAGCTGGTTGTTGAGTTAATGCCTGTTTGTATGTGGGCTTTATTCTCCTTGTATGCAAAAGACTGTAAACTCATTATCAATATTTTCTGAATGAACATAATGTTTCTTGCATATAGTGTTTTCCTTCGTAAGTAAACATTTTGAAATGAATTACACCTTCTTTGAGTAAGCATGCTATAAAGACGGTATACCGTAATTCTTCGGGTCCAGCTAATTGTTATAGAAACGTCCTTTAATGAAACTGAAACGCTTGGCCTAAAATTCTTGTCTCATCATTTTATTGTTTATCTCGTTGCCTGGTGGTGGTCGTTGCTTCGTTGGATCGTTGCTTGCTAGCTCCCTTTTTCAAAGTTTATTATTTTCAGATAGAATGGAGCAACGTTGAAACATCGTGATTGCTTTCAGCGATGATTCAAAGGCGTTCTTCTCTTTTCTTTACACCATGCAAATTTAAGCAGAAAAGACTACAAATCATGGCTTAAGTACCTCGCTGTTGCTTGTTTCGTCTTTGATGATGGAAACCTAGTGCACTTTTCTATTCTGTGCTAGTCTGATCTGTTCATCAATAACGGGAAGACGTTATTATTACAACAATGTAAATTTTTAGTCGAGAATAGTGTCATTATTGACTAAAATATCAGATTGCTTTCATCGTTAGGTGGGGCAACACAAATCTTGGTAGAATCTCTTCAACATGTGGTGACATGTCAAATTTTTTTGACACGTGGCAGAAGGTTGGCACACTCCAATATTTTTCTTTGATAAAATGTGTCCGGATAACGGAAAAGTACTGAAAAATCTGAATCTAAATGAAAAATCTCCTTAGAGGAATGTTTGAGAAAAGATATATCTTTGAAAAAAAAACTAATGAACATTAGTGATAGTCGCAATTGTTACAGTTCAAAGAATGAGATTCAAACATAGTCGATTGCGCTAACGATGTGACGTACAATAGGCAACTGAAACATATAGTAACACAAATATGAGGATGTTTCTTTTCCATATATGAAAAAATAAGATGATTTAATTCCTTTTATCTGCCTTATCAACTGGCGACTGTCCATCACGCCTCAATGCTTAGAAAATGATGAATGGTTGAAAATATGCACAAATCAATTTTGCAAAAATATGGACGTCCTTTGCTTTTTCTGTCATAGAGCAAGGTGATATGACAGCGCAGAATATAGCAAACCTTTTGAAAATGAGAGGTCTTCAAAAAAATTTTCTTTAGAGCACAGGAATCTTTGGATGTTCATGTGAAGAGAGTTACGCGAATACGATTAAACAGAAAGAGTACCTTGTTGGAACGCTGTATTGCGCTTTTTCAACAGAAAGTAGCCTGGAGCATAAATATGACTTTGGTGGAGAAAACTATGTTAGCATCACAGTTGATTCAGCGGGTTTCGATTTTAAGAATCATAACGACAACCCGGCTAGTTAAAAAAACTTCAATGATGGTGATCCGAGTTTCATCTGGAATTTTCTCAAAAGATTGTTGGAGTTTTCAAATACCCGTCAGACATGATCCGGGTGTTCTCTCCTTAGATGTTCGAGATGGCGAAGTGGTCAGTTGAAAAACGTTTTAGTGGTGGTGATTCAATTTTGGCCATTCAGGATTTTTTCAAAAACTGAGATTACCAGAGACTTTAGAAAGCCTTCTTTATTACAGTTGCGCAAATATTTACTATTAGATTCCATACGTAAGTAGCGTTCATTTTTCAGATGCAATATTTGTTTTGTGACGCTGCTGCTGTACTTTTCGAAAAAGAGCTATTCGCTCCGCAAAACTCATTATTTTCTTTTAGAATAATCTGCGTTTTACCTCGCAAAGTAAAAGTTCTTGAAATGCAAAAGTTGGCATTTTCGGTACCTTTGTTTCCGTTAGTTGTAAGTTACTTAAGCGTGATGCAGTGTCAAAGTATGCAAGTCATTTTTGCAGTATATGCCGATATGGAGAAAGAAAATTGCATACGATTGCAAGATGCTTTTTTAAGGATTGTGTGCAGTAAAAAACAAGGTCGAAAAAAATCCTTTGTCGACTTTATGCGGCCTAGACTTTTGCTCATTTGAGCGCTAATTGCTAAAAAATCTCCAATCTTACGGAAACTATGTGATCGTAGTGAGCTCAGCATGTAAGTACAACAACAGCAACAATGGTTCCACTGCGTCAGCGTTGAGTTACGCACTTAGCTGAACCTTATTAAAGGATTTTCAAAGATATTCATCCACAAATGAGATCGCTCTGCTTGATCCTAAAACTGAGTCAGCAGATTTTCAATGATTTTCGCCACATTCTTACATTTTAGAAAGCAGGGTTACATGTGTCGTCCTCATCAATTGATCAGCTCAAGCCGCCCAGTCGTGTGGAAAAGGATTTCACCGAAGAAGTGGCTGAAAAATTTTGGGTTCTTCTTACAGATACTTTTTTAGGAATCAAAGTAGCCGATGATGTGGTTGGTGTCAATGACATCCATTTCGCTCAAAGTTCAATGTCAAGACAAAACCAAGTAGTTTAGGAAGAAGAATTCTCTTACGGGAACAGGGCCAAGGAGCTGTTGATACAGGAGCTAGCAGAACAGGAAAGATACGCCTGGTTTAGATGGGTGGACAGTGGTTCAGCAATGTCTAGCGATCTCCTCTCAGCAGAGTAAGCTCTAATTTTTTTTGCCCGCTTTATATATACTGAAAATGTGTTTACATGTTTTCTACGATCCTTTCAAGGCAGGCGTCGCCTTTGTGAAAGATTGTGGACCCTACATCGTATATAATGTGAGCCCTACAATTATTTCACCATCGCATTTCAGTTTGAGTAATTTTTTGCGGAAAAAGAAGAACCTCGTCGGTCAAAAACAGAAGTGAAAGTCGTTTACATTTCAGCTAAAAATTACGCGAGCCCATTACCATATGGTAAAAATAGGATGTGGCCTTCTTAAAACCAGTGCTGGAAATTTCGGAAGTTGCTACATGACGCTTGAAAGAGTGAAGGCTAAGGTCCTAGAATACTTGGCCCAAAACGGACCAACTCCCCCTTAACTCGTCCATTTCGTCAACTTCTCAGACGCTTACGAGGCACTGAAGCGTAGATTTTCAACAGATTGTTTATTACTATAAGGGATTGTAAGCGTTTGCGATCTAACGATAAGATTAGGTTGACGATGCCACTTTTATTTTGTTAACTTAGTGATGTTTTATCGCAATTTTTTGATCGTTGCTAATTTTGGTTAATAAAAAGTTGGTACAAAAATTAGTTGCAAACAATCACAAGACTACAAGACATCAATCACAATCAGAGGTCTTTCATTTTCTGATAATGAGCATAATATGATACTAACTGCGACATAAGATTTTGATCACAGTAGTCCGTGCTACATTCTCTGTTCTCTTTTTTAGCGCTTACGCTTTACATTTCTGTTGATAAAATGTGATTAACGCTTACTTTATGACTACACATTGTCTATAGAATCTCGATTTTGAGCTTTTCCAAGTGTTATATTACAAACAATAGCGTATACCATCCTTCGGTAAGTAGGGAATGTTGAATAGAATTACCAACAATACATATTTATAAGTTGTCCTGATTTTGCTTGAGTTAGCGAATACGCACAACGAGAGCAAACGCGGATGGGAATACTTTTATATTCTCCTGGCCACTTCCAAAATTGGCTAATAACTGTTTTACAATGAAATTCTGCAGAAAATAATAATATTTTGAGATAATTTTTATACACTTTACAACTGGCTTGAAAGATTTTTTGGAAATTAGCTAAAACTTGAACTCTCAGAGAAAGGAATATTTTGGAGTAAAACTTTATGTGCGTTTGCTTTTGAGTCCCCAGACTATAAGAATGAGCAGAGTGTCAAAAGATTTGGCGTTTTTTATAACTTCAATAGTGCCACAAACAGTGTGATAATGATCATATTTTAGCACTGTAGCGTCATCTGATTTGTTGAGATACTCTCATTAGCTACTTTAGCCAAACAGTTGACAGACTAATTTTAAAATATTTTGGAAGGTAACTTCTTTTTGTTGATTTCTATACTTTTTCCAAAGTTAAATTGAATAATAGCAGAAATAAAGTTGAAGTTTCTATTGTGCAGCTTCGAAGCAGTGTTCCGCGTGCTTCTTTGTCAAAGTGAATTACTTTTTCGGCATTTCGCTGGCACGGATCCTGGACTTCTTCATTTGTCATTACAAGAGTTAAGACCTAAATATAAGTGCAGTCGATATAAAACGCGCTTTGATTTGATTGGCGAAAATTCAATACAGCTTTCTTCAGCGGAAATCTGGAGAAATGCTTTATGATACGTATCCAGAAAAAATGCAGCTCACTTCGTCTCTCTTATTGTTAGTTAGGATAAAAATGTCTACAAGAAGGCATGTTTACATCTGTGATAAGAGGTAGCAAATTGGCAGAGATGATTAAGGACCTTTCCAAGATGTTTCTCATTTGCATCCTTTCCATAAAAAAATACTTTGCACCTTTCCATCGAGAAAGTCAAAATTTGACTGTTATTGAAGTTTTCTGAATGACGTGTTGCACTCATGAAGAAAACACTTGTTCACATGCATTTTGAAGTTTCAGAATTCCTTCATAGAACAGAGATAGAAGGTAGTCAAGTTTTACTTTATACCTTTATTATATGCCATCTTGAGAAAAGTAGGAGATGCAAGGCTTCAAGAAATTGAGCAATTTCACCTTCCACCTTGATTTACGATAGAAAACACTATATACGCAAAATTGCGTACATCGCTGTGCAAAGCACTAGGTTTAGCAACAAAGCCTCTTCTATGCACCGTTCCTTTACGGCTACAGTCGTGCAACAGAACATTCGGGGCAAAGTTCCGAGTCTAGACGATTAATTACGTAACTTACGTAAATCTTTGAGCCTTGACATTACCAAACGTAGTTCTCAAAAGTATTAGATTGCGTTCTAAAATCTATTTGTTCGATTTCTAAGAACTATTCTGAATGGAAAGCTTTCGCATTCCTTCATTCCCTTCAAAATTTTGTCACCGTAAAATTTCTTATAGGTCGGAAAACAAATTTTGTACTAAATTAGGTATGGCATAAACTGCAATAACTTATATTTCTCCTATATCCTAGATAGGTGAATTATATATCATTCAATAGAGCAAAGCTAGCCTAGTATTCAAAAGTATGCACCAACTTATATGCACACGTGTTCTGTGCAAAGTAGATTCTCTGAGTAAGTTTGAGTTTCGCAAGTTTTTTTTGAACGAACTATGATATTTTTCATTTTTGAGCAGTTAGATTTTTTTAAATTTTTGGCCAGAGTCTTCGCATGATTCTTGATTGGTGCAACCTTTAAACATTACCTCGAAATAGCTTTGCTCTTTCAAATGATATATTTCAGAAGTCATCTAGAGAATAGATGAAAATAAAGCATTGCGGCTTTCTATTCTTCGTACAAGATGTTCCAAGCTGATAAATCGCTATGGGATTAACCGTAGTACCAGAGTTTGCACCAAAAAATAACATGCAAAAGTACCAATCTTGTACTAATCTTGTACAAGTTTGCAAAGTTTTTTGGTTGATGTAATCACATTTATAAGGACAGCTCCTACTATCTTGTAACTTACTTCACAAATAGCTAATATTTCAATGTCAATATCCCTTCGACATCAAAAATGAGAGCGCTGCATTCAAAAAGAGAAGAGTCATGGGAGAAGTCGCAAAACCTATGCGTCAGCTTGATATGCAGCACAGTTTCAACAATTAAACTTCGCAACAAGATTGAGACAAGAATATGTTGAGCATTGAATTACATGCTTGCTTCTAAGATGGAGATATGATGTGAGGAATGGATATGATCACGGATTAAGGGATAAGAGTACGGAAAGTGCACTGCAATTTTTTCTACACTTCGTCGTCGTTTTGATCGAAATTGTTTTTACATTTTCCAACAAGCCGTGCTTTTGGCTTGACTCGGTAACGGCAGCATATTATATAATTCAGCTTAGCTTTGATAATACCCGTATAGCTGAAAAAGATTTAGCCAAACTTGCTTCGGCGAGCTTGTACGAGATAATTTAGGAGTAAGTCAAAATGTTAAATCGGAACTTCGAAGTGTAACTTCAATGGTAATCAATCGAACAAGTAATCCTTGTCATGACCTTACGGTTCGTGACTCCCAGAACATCTGTTATCTGGTCTTATGATTCAATCTCATAACATCTCACTGTTATCGTTATATCTATTTTTTGACATAGCAAGACATTTCTTTTGACACTTGAAAAATAGCTTTGGTGCTCAAGGTCGGCTTCTACAATGCCCCATCAGGCTTCTACAATGCCCCATCACTATTTCTTCCCGATGTAAACCTTGTTTCTGGACGAAGAAAGGTAACGAGAAGGATGTAAATCTGGCATTAGCTGTAATACAACAGCTGTGAACCGAACAAATATATAAACGAGATGTGATTTGTCCAAAATTCCTATCTCACATAATGCAGTCTGAACATGGTGCATGGCTGAAGTGGCAGAGGCAAAGTTAGCTATTGAATGGCTTGATTGAAAAGGGAAACCGCGAGGTGTGGCAAGGTGGCTCTGGTAGGGCTCGCCGGAGCTCGCAACATCAAAGTCATGCCCGATGATCCTTTGACTTGAAACGAAACGTTCCTCCACACTTGTCGTCGTCGAACTAAACAAAGCTCGCTTTGGCAGATTGAGTGCTTCGCAAATGAGGATAAAGAAAAATTAAATAATGGGCTGTTAATCACACAAGTTTTGCAACTTTTTTCCCAACTATTTAGAAACTTTTTGAGCATGGCACACTCATTTCGCCATCATGAAGCTACGACTGGCTACAAGTGCAGCTACCATCCTGTTGAACTCTGACGTGGTATTGAGGGCTCGGTAGGTATGAGGTATTTGGGGAGAATTTCTGGACCATTACAGATTTGCCTGAAAGTGGGGATTACACGACATGATCATGAATTTAATACTAAATTATAGCTTTTTCCGTGAGACTGCGCTAAGTTTATGGTATGCGGTTTCGCCTCAAACACGAAAAGAGGGGCTAATTGAACAAACGAATATGATTATTGTGTTCAGCAGATCAGGTAACCTCACTATGCCAAGTCTCATCGAATTCTAATCCAGGAATGATATCCAGGAAAGTCCATAATGGAGGAAAATGGACTTCCAAACCCCATTTTGTTCGTTCGCGATAGAAACTGGTCGGAATCTACTTTCGCTAGCGTTATCCAAAAATTTTTATCTCATCGCCACGAGGCAAAGCGGTGTGATAAAAATTATTCAACCTACTTGAGCTTTCGCTTGCGAAAGAATCTTGCGAAAAGTCCATTCAGAACGGGGCAGAATGGGATTTACCTTCATTTTAAATAGACTTGAAAGCCCATTTTACTCCCAGCAGCAAGGTGAGCTAGGACTAATCCCATTTTTGACATTTTGCATATTTTTGATGGCGATATCTTGAGAATGCTCCTTGTAACTTTTTAAGGTAGCATATGAGTGGAAAAAGTTTCACGTCTTCAATGAAGTCTGAAGTAAGTGTTTCTTTATAAACTTGTACAAACGCTATAAAAAATCATGGTAGAAGGTTAAATTCACCAAAATATTCGCTTACAAACTCAAATGCTTCCAAATATTGGGTCATGCGAAAATTTC